TTCCGGGACTTCTTTTCAGCTTTTTTCCGATAATTGAAAGTGAAATTTCGGAACTGAGGCGGCAAGTAGCGACAGAAGAACCAAACAAAGGTTTGTAAACATACCAGGCGCCGTAATTTACGTTATTAAAACGTAGCAGATACGAAAATCCTCAAAGGAAAAACAAAATAGAAATTCCGAGTTTTAAAGATTTTCACGCTCAGTTAGATTGCAAGCTTACGTAGGGTAATAAAAATCAAACACAGCTAACACTCGTATAGTATATAAAGTTCAATGTTCAAAAACAAAACAGAACAAAACAGAAATGATGAAAAATATAACCAAACTGGCATAATTATTAAAAATGATACTAATCATGACGGCGTCTGAGCGAATATGATCATGCTGAAGTTCATCGCGGCTCGCTCATCATGGCGATCTCCGGTCATCACAGTAAAGCAAGCCTCAGAAACTACATCAGCCGCCCTTCGAGTGAAAAAATAAGAGCTTGCTCTGATATCCTTTCCGATACGTTGAGTGGAAAGTCAATTCAGTCACTGCAGCCGAGTTTTGCGGCGCTGTCATCCCGAGCGATCTTCATGTTCCGGTGAATTCGGCTGTCGTTCATTCAACAAACATTCGCCTTGAACAGTTTGTTTTCTACCTTGTCATGTGAAAAAACTCACGTGTTTTTTTGAGCCATAATTCGGCTGAAGTTCACTGAACATTTCACTTCAAGATTCTGTATTAGAGGCTTAAAAACTTCAAGCAAAGTGCTAAATTCGACTTACCGAACTATTTTAGTTTGTAAACTATCGTAGAATGTGAACTTTGAAGGTTTGACACTTTTGACAGCTTTAGTCTTGTACAGCCAATCAGATTATTTGAACCATTCTAACAGGGATTCTGATTGGCTTATTGTAGCGTGCTTTATGAGAGTATAGAGCATGCTGACGACACTGTTGTTCGCTTTGGAAATAAAGTTTGTTTTGAAAATTGAAAGTAATGCTTGGGTAATTTAACGGATTCTTTATTATAAAACAAATAGAGAAGCCTTGACTGTGCTCTGTTCTGTTATAAAGCACTTAGGAAGCGGCTAGAGCACTCAAGAAGTGGGAAGAAACACTCGACTACGTCTCGTGTTTCTCCCTACACTTCTTTCGTGCTCTAGCCGCTTCCTAAGTGCTTTATAACAGAACAGAGCACAGTCAAGGCTTCTCTATTTGTTAAATAATCTCTTGGGCTTCATCATGATGTAAGGAACATCCGTAATTGAACTGGTGAGGATGGCAGCGTCATTTGTTCTAAATAGTTTTTGAATGAATTATTAATGTAGTTCTTTGTTGCTGTGGGAGAGCGCACGAAGTTTGGCGGGAAAAAATGGAAGGATCGATAAAATTCCTCTTTAAATTGATGGAAATAATGTAAAAATTAGTGATAGTGCACAGTAAGCTGCAGATATTAACATTTTTTCAGAGCGGTAAAGGTTTCCGCGACGCCCTAGATTATTTGCATATATTGGTGATTTACAGCACGATTCATTTAATAAAACATTTTATCCCGTGCAGGTGGAAGTCACATTCTCAATGTGGACCTGCCATCCTCGACATAAATATTTATTTTACTAAAGTTACTCTCTCTTCACGTGAACAATATGTTGAATATGTTAAAACCGATTCTTTTAGCCACACAGTGTGATATATTCATTTTAACTGCACGCCTAATCATTAACATGAAATTAAAAAGACTGAAAATGTTCTTAAAAATTTGAACAACGGACGGACTGTTTTTTTTATCAATGACAGCCCGGTTTGGCTTGTAGACATAACCGATGCCAAAATTCAACCCAAAGCCGGACATGAAACTTTAGAACTCGAATCATCAACAATAATTATTCTTTATAACTATTCTTTACAGGATCATAAATTACATACTTAACACGCGAATTTCCAGAGCCTTCTTCAGAATTGATAGGCAAAATGGTACAGTGCCAAATAATACTCCTAAGTCTTCTATCTACTCACCCTCAAAAGAATAACGTGATGAATATGCTGCTGTTACGTTTGATCCGTTGGCACAGGTGAAAGTGTGTAAAACCTATTTTATCCAATAGGAAAGTATTACAGCGTAATAGTGAACTTAAAAAATTAGCATCAGAGTTTCAAAATATTTTACCCCAGTAAACATGAATTCACTTACCGCACAAAAGTACAGAAGCAGTTTTTGTACCATTCTTTCTTCAATGTTGTTTCCCTTCCGTCTGTATTCACCGATCTCCTTACGATACAAATTCTCAGAGAAGTGCTCACAGTGAATTACCAGACGTATAACATTTTGTTGTGCTTTCGGTAGGAAGTGGTTTGGAAATGCGTTGCAATTTGGTGAGGAATTGTCAATCTTGACGTTACCGCAGAAGTCCTGGCAAGCGTAACGTGTTTAACGGGAAAACACACTTTCTGGGCAAGAAAGGACGCGAAAAAAATTGTGCCCTCTCGCTGTTATCTTCTAGAGGGTGACAAATTTGTAAAACAAGGTGGTCACGTTCAAATATTTTTCTTTCATTGTAGTCTTATGAAAATTCATTAGTAAACATAGTTCCACAATTAGCGCTTGGTCACCCGATAGTCTTCACAGAAGCATTTTTTTAATTGTTTTTTTTGAATAATTATTAGAATTCGGTTGATAACATAGATTTTCTTCCATTTTTGCTGGCCTCAGCGGATAATACATCGTACTCTCTGACTTATCGGTAAAGGGTTCGAATTTGGTTCATAAAATTTCATGACCTGTTCGCGGGTTACCGATTCTTGTTTTTCATTAGCTTGTTGTCAATGTTCGAAATGGGAAATGACAATTTGTTCTACTTGTGAAGTCAACGTCCCGTAGTGTTTGCATCAGCTTCGTGATCAAACAAAATAAATGAAAATTAAGGTGGAACTATTAGGTAAAGTGCGAAGGCGTGATAGGAAATTAATTATTTTCTAGAACAATAATCATGCTGCTTAGTAACCGTTCCTCCCTACGAGCCAAATGAAAGAAAAGTTTAAGAGAAAGAATAAGTCTTTGTTTATTTTATTGTTAGCTATCCCTACTGTTTTTAACGCAGACGCTTCGCTGCGGTGATGAAGCAAATTACAGAACCTTCCATCTGCCCTTGAAGCACAGTCTACTGTCCGCCTCAAACATAGACCTCTTATGGTCACAAATATATTGTGTGGCTCAGGTTTTTTCCTTTTTTCACACATTTTCGTCGGCTTTGCGGCAACTCAACCATGAACACAATAATGAATGAATGAGAATGGTATGGGATTATACGGAAACTTCCAATGCTACACTGAGCAGTTTAAAAATTGGCCATGCAATTTTCTAACAAATGGATAAATTTTCTTGAGTTGGTATTGAGGGTTGCACATGTAAAAGTTAAGCCCAGTTGAACGATACAATGCAATATGGAAAAAATGTCAGCGTTTGATCACAAAATAGGCCTGAAATTCAACTTTTAACGTTAACAAAGCTAAAACCTTCGAAACCCTTCGAAAACCGCTGTGCACGTGACACGTGAACAAACAGCGGTGGTACACATCATGTGACTTTAAGGACGCTGGGAAGATTTCCGAAGGGTGTAGGGCTACGAAGTTGATGATTATAATTGCTTTCAGTAACGACTGTTGTGATCTGACGGAGGTCACTGATTGATGAAAGGGCTTCGTCTCGATAGCAGGTCGCCACTGTAAGGCCACACTCTTTTGTAGACACCCTTCCTTTTGCTTTTATCTCCCTGCACTCTCGTCTGTTATCATGGTAGTTAAAATGCCTCCGGTGTATTCTTAACTAGCCGAGGGAGGTGAAATAATCTCTGCGCAACCTTTTTTATTCCAGGAGGAAACCTTTGATCATTTCGCCCCTCACACATTCAGTTCTCCAGGGAACTTGTTCGACTTTGAAAAAACATTTAATTATGTTAAATACAGGAAATTCATTGGTCAAATGACGACTTCTTCACAGAGAAGCGACAAACAAATACTAATCATAATTAAAAGATCCTAGAGTTACAAATACACCATACGATCATGTTTCAATAAAATTGCGGCTGCCTCAACAAAGAACAGTCACGATGCTGGAATAACTTGAATGCCTTTTGCTAGGTCTTTACTAATCATGCTCTCTTATAGGCGCCAGTTGAATGATACAATTTAGAAATGAAAATTGTATATAGCGTGTCTTGTATCTTAACCCACTTTCTTCTGAAACTTAAAAGTCGTAAACCTTAACTATGTATCGATACGTCAAGAGTGAATCATTAACGAACAGAATCACGGGCACTGTTTACGACACTATTGGGTGGATAATTTGAATGAAATAACCACTAATCTGCAATTCTTGCCCAAGAACAGGATTCTCAAATGTGTTTCAAGCCTCGCTTTGATTATGAGGCTCAAGAAAATTAACTTCTGAGCTGCCTACTGGACTCCATTGTTTATGAGTTTCCCGTAACTCATTCATTTTAGCGAGGTCTGAACTACAGCCACTCATATTAATTTGGATTTGAAATTTTTCATTTTAACAAGACTTGAGAGAAATCGAAATGTGACACATTGAAAGAAAAACAGAGAAAATAACTCTGACCGGAAATTGGCTTATAACTAATAATACATTTCAACCGATTCTAAAAAGAAAAATTCCTCACTGATGAGGACATTAATTTTTGCCTTCAAAAATCCATTGATCACACAATATTTTGCCATGGAAGTCGTAATTGAGGCAGGTTCCTCAGTTAATACTGAGTGAGATCGACTGAGGCAGACACACCTTCAACGTTTCTTTAACATTGGTTGCTCTACCACATAATTATTAATCATTTCAAAAAGCTCTAATAAATCAACAGTTTGAAAACGAGGTAAATGAGAAGTATGATCTCTTCCCTTTCGGTGAGTAACATTTTATATTATGATTACTTGTTTTCTTTGTCTATTTTAGTTCTGTGCGAGATAATTGATTAAAAGTAATTGTCCATATTTCAAAAGTAAAGTGATTTCCTAATCCTCCAAAGAACGGAAAGCTTGTTGCATTTGTTCGTTAAGTTCTGCAAAGTCCGCCTTTATCTTGCTCTCGCCATCACTGCCAGGGTCCTACGAAGAAAGCAACGAACACGAATTTATCACCTTAAAACTATCCATTTCATTATTGCGCGCATTCGAGAGAAAATCCATTATAACATAAGAGCCATTGTGTCTGGCGAATATGATGATAGATGTGAGCAATAGCCTCTCAAGAGAAAAGAAATAGAAACTAAACAGAATGAATCTGAAAAATCTGTAAAATGAGTAATCAAAATAAAACAATCCATTTCCATACGTCAGACTGACCTTAAACTTCATACTTGACAACTGGTAAATAATCTGTCCCATATTCTCTTTAATGACTGCCCATGTGATCTTGTTATCGGACTGAGCGGTGGCCTCCACGGAGTGCCGTGCCGCATCATAAAATGCTACAATGTTGGAGAGCATACCAACAGTCTTGTAAAATGGACAGTAACGATCGTAAGATGAGTAACCATTCTGTTGTAAAAAGTCATCTTTGATGAGCTTGGCTACTTCCAGAGTGATCTTATCTGCCTCGGCTAGTGAACCCTGAAAAACAGGGAAGCAAAAAACCAAAATATAAAAAAGTATCTAAGAATCATAGATTACTTGTGCTCAGATTCCTTCACATGGAACAAACATCCAACTTATATTTTCCTTGTAAAGAATAAGAACGATGACAAACACCTCTTTTTATTTCCAATCAAAACAGTGGAATTATTACGAACCTTTCCTACAAGCTGTACAATCTCTGATAAGTCTTCCTCTTCTTGCAGAATTTCTTTGACCTGACGAGAAAAATAACAATCAAGCGCCAGATACTTCAACTTGTAGTTAACAGGAAACCTTACTTTTTAAGGAGAGATCTGGGAATGACTGCCTTCATTTTTTTTTTTTGGCATTAAGCAGTCACCTTCGGGGAATGGCGCCGTGACCGCTAAATACATGTTCCACATAATAGGGACATTGTAAAGAAAGGGTAAATCTTTTAAAAAAAACATGACCACTTATTAAACAAAAACTCGCTCAAAAATACTATCAACACTGATTTCGGAGGATGAAGATGGATTAAATTTTTCTTAAAAGATTATTTTTAATTTTGTTTGAGTGGTCCCACTGTAAGTGAACATTAAATACATGTGGAGGACGGTACAAGAAGGCTGTTGGGACTTAGTTAAGGGGAACCACGACCGCTTAATAGAAGTGAAAGTTAAAATAAAAGTACTTAAAAAACTGACCGCTTAATACAGTGTGACCACTTAATAATGTGCCGCTCTTAACAGGCTCGACTGTAATTTCCAGTTACGCGCTTTAGTTCCGTTGTATGCCTCGAATTTGTCGTGAAATTTAAAATTTTAATTCCAAAAAACTGACTGGAAATTCTCCCTTTTGGCTGACATGCATTTCCTACAAATTAGGTGTGAGAACTTGGATTTGTATTAATACAAAATCTAGATGAATAGTATTTCTATTCTCGAAGCCTGTTAACTGAATAATGTAATGATATTCTAAGGAGAAGATATATGTCAATCTCCTCTCGTAAACAAAATTTCTCCTACGTTGAAGGTGTAATAATTACTTAGCGACTAATAGCGGAGCTTGTAGCGCGCAGCGAAGCCCCATGTTTACATTAAATGGTAATATACCATTATGACCTGATAATGGCGGAAAAAGAATACTTTACCTTTGTTCTAAGCGCCACGAACTCGGGGTAATTTTTCTCGTAGAAATCATCCAAAGCTCTCATGTATTTACTGTGACTGATCAGCCAGTTGATGGATGGAAAATGCTTCCTTTGAGCAAGTTTCTTGTCCAAACCCCAAAACACCTAAAGCAAAAGCAAAATATGATATTTTCGTCTATACCCTACTTAATTGTGTGAGAATAAATGGCCAGAGAAATTGTTTGCACAGAATCGTCAAAAATACTCTGCAATATCTGTTCTGTTGTGGATTCCTTTCAAGCATCTGCATAAAAAAATCAATTAACTGAATCCTATAAATGTTTCATTCTCGAGGTCATTCCTTAAAGGTTATTTCTAGTGCGTCCCCAGGTTTTAAAATCCTCTTCCAAAATGTATCAAAGTTATCTCATTTTCTGCTCTTCGTGATTCATTCCTTCACAAATACCTGAACAATACCCAGTGTAGCAGAAGTGACAGGATCTGAGAAATCTCCACCGGGAGGGGATACTGCACCAACAATTGTGACACTACCCTCCCTCTGTGGGTTACCCAGGCATTGAACACGGCCTGCTCGCTCGTAGAACGAAGCCAGTCGGGCTCCGAGATAAGCTGGGTAGCCACTATCTGTAATAGAAAAGTATACGCGTCAATTTTCGTGGTATTGAATTATCAATATTTAAGGCCATAAATGATTGAATCGAGTGAAAGGAGAAATTGAAAAGTACTTCTGTGTTGTGTACTTCTGTCAATTTTGCCGTCTGTACGGAATTTAGGCGCGGCTTGTGCATCTTTTAAAATCTTTTTCAAAATTTTGTCATTGGTTAGTTTTCGGTTTCCTTGCGTAATTGCTCGTCTCCATTGAGGTTTATAACTGCTTCGATCTTTTTCCTATCCTGAAATCTCATTATTTTAATGTTAACTCAATTCTGAGGTAGTCATCTACCTCGTAAAATAC